TGTAGTTGCTAAAATAAAAAAAAGTATTCTGAAGTATTTAAAGTTAATAGCTGGGTTACTCTAAATACACATGTTTAATAAGCATATAGCTCAACCAAGATAGGCTATTAATATTTAAATTGGACCATAGAGCAAGTTAAAGGATGACAAACTTTCATTCAACACAATTGGTTTTAAGAACTCTATTGCAATATAGTTTAAGTGTCTATCTAATACTTACAGAATCCAGTAACTTATGTTATTTGCCTAATTTACTAATGTACTAGCAGAAAAACAACACATAAAAGTTGCACTCCACAGTCAGTTGATAGCTTATTTATAAAGGCGCACTATAAAATAGAAAATGGTTGTAGCAACATAAGGGCACCATGATTATTTTTAAGTTCAAAATATTAGATTTTCTTTAATAACCACTTACAATGGGACAAAAATGAAATTAATCTTAGCAGAAATAAAAGTACAGTGTAAATTCTGTCCTTATTTTGGTAAGAAAGCATTACATGAGACAACATAACTAGAAACATTAGTTCCTCTGCCACTCTTAGCACCTCACATGAAAGCATCATGGCAGTCCTGACAGTGACACTCCATTTACAACGTTTTAAAAGCAACAGTTGATCCAGATGATTTTTTGGAATTGTCCCTAAAATTATGTCTCTCCCTCTATTACATGCCACTGTGCTTCTCTTTTTGCCCCTCCCCCACTGTGTGGGGGTTGAAGCCTGCAATTAACCTTGTAATGTATAAAAAAAAATTATTATGTAAAATGAAGAAAGACATTATTTAAGGTTACACTCAAATATAGAAATGATCGAATGATTTAAAAGGAAGGAAGAAAACATTTTAGAGATTTGTTTTAAAATATAAGTTCCCTTTAGGAGAACTTGGAAAATATAAAACCAAGGGAGAAGAAAATGAGAACAGTTGGCTAACTGAAGCTACAGAAAGAAATAACTGATCTCTTCTATAAGGACCAAAAATTGGTATTTTTTTTCTGGTTATAGCTTAATCCAACAACACATTCCTTGAAAATTCTTTATGCATTGGGATTCACCAATGTATATTCTGTACATCTCAGAAATACAGCAACAAATGCTTATTAATTTGGCAATTATTTATACTACATTAAACAATTACGTTTGACAAAAGTATTGCCAAGATGGCCTCAGAACAGTAAATACGACTCAACATGAACCAATGATCCCTGTTTACACATACAGTATGACCCAAAACCTCATCAAAATTATGTACAACTATTAAAGAGAAAATTGTATTTTAAGAATTATGCTGGAGACCTAACCAAAATCTAAAAGGGCTTCCCAAAACCAGGCTAGAGTGCATTGAGACTTACATAACTCACCAAGAATTTAGCTCAGTCTTTCACTCTGGCACTCATGGAAAAGATACCGTTAACTACCAGCTCTCCTCTACACTGCTCGTTACCTTCCTCCTAGTAATTGACTGCAACTTGCATTTTATCCTCATTTGTGTAAAGCATATTTAAGAGCAAATCATACAATTCATAAGCATTCAATAATATATGGAAAACAGTCAAAGTATCTGTAGTAGAAAAAGACAAAAACATTACCAATATGAGTTAAATTGTCAATTAAAAACATACAGGGATTAACCAAAGAAGCATTACAAGAATTTCATGAAGAGCTGACCAAAGGCTTATTACACATTTCTCTATTAGTCATCCCATACTAACTTGACACACCTGAGCACACAATAGCTGGTTTCTTTACAGTCAATCATACTGATCTTTAAAAAGAGGCACCGATTCTACCATAAAGGTAACAATATATGAACAAATAAATACATGTTCAAAAGCAAACCACATCAGGAAATCATTTTATATAAATAAACATCAAGAAACAGTAAGCTCAAAATGCCACTGCTACACCCACTGTCTGAATCTTTGGAAGGCAAGGAACAAGGTAAGACATTAAATGAGCTCCTATCAAAAGAAAAGGCTAACCACGGCCAACATAAACCTACTCTTTCCTTTATGCTTTGTCTTCCTCTCAGAAAACATGTAGTCTGGAGCTAACATGCAAAAGGAGAGGAGCAAAATGTATTTCCCTCAGCCCATAGTCCTATAATTTTCTTCAATTTCAATTACTTGTATAAAACTTGACACAGATATGACCAATAACGAGATGTTCAAATCTACTTAAGTGTTAATAGAGTCATTAAAAATCAAACACCAAAAACCAATACTCCACAAAGAGTAAATTTACAAGTCCATCTTACATTATTCTTTTTCTCTAATCCTACCTTTTAGGAAAATGTCAACTTGCAAACAAAATTTCAACGCTATCCCTAAAAGCTCTAATTCTACTGAAAACGCTTTAATTCTCTCTTCTTCTTTTCTACAGTGCACAATATTAATGCAGAGGTGAAACCTGGTGTAAAAAAAAAAAATCAAATTACACAGAAGTGAGCCTGCTTCGCTTCAATTATGTTTATGTTAAGCTCACTGAATTGTACCGTTAGAATTGGAAGCTCATTTATTAAGGAAGGATCTGAGCATCAATAACCTTTACTTTGTTTTACTACTAATGAACTTAAACCTTAAAAACAAAACACAGCTCTTCATCGTGATATTCACAAATTTACAAGTTAATGTGCTACCTTGATATCATGGCGCACTGTAGAAACTGCCTTCTCCCCCAAGTATAATGTGAAGTGGTTTTTATTAACATTCTGGGGAGAAAACATTTTAGTTACTTAAGAATTCAAATTAAAACGTATTTTTTTTTTTAAATTCCAAACGATGTTACTATTTTCTGTCTAAAGTCAGAGAGTATTCAATCATGCTGTGGCCTCAGCATGTTGATTTGGTGGCTCATGACTCAGGGTCACTGATCATAGCCAATGTTTGGCAACCACCATGCATCATATAGAGAGAGCAACCAATTTTAGTTCTGCCAGCTCTGCTGCTTGGAAACAATAGAAGAATTCAATAATGGCCAGAAAGGAAACATTGTCTCAATTTATTTGGGTGAAGCTTTGTTCTGGGTAATCTCAGTTCCTAGTGCGAAGAGTAAAACTTGCAAACACAGAGCATGATCCGGTTAAGGTATTCTGCCTTAAGAAGAGATACTAGTGATTAAAATTAAAATCCTATGTCAACATAAAATTAATCACTTTCTGGACACTGAAAGAACATCTGAAGTGCCCCATCATGGTAGCCTTGCCTACCTTTTTAAGGGCAGAGGCTTAACAAAACATGAACATTTTATGTCACTAAGTATAAAAGTTAAAGCAGTAAATTTATTTAATGATTTTAGGGTAAGACGTACTGTTCATATCCAAGATTTTATAAGTCTTAATGACAACTCATAGTGCATGCAAGTTAAGTTTCGGTTTGACTATTTTTTTTTTTTTCTTGTAATAAAATGTGAAAAGTTTTATGATGGCTTTCAGGGCAAGGAATTTCCTTAAACGTATTATTTCTCGTGTAATCACATTTATAAATCAACTTAATAGCTCCCTCTTGATAATCAAATCAATTATAGTTACTCTTTTATAAAACTCAACCACATGAAATCTGTCAAAAATTTAAGATTGGAAAATATAAAAGACAGCATGTCTCTTACCAGTTGGAAAAACATAGTTTATGCAATAGAGAAACTATTTAGATTTCCTTATGGGAAGTATCTTAAAATCCTAATTTAGAAAGAAAAGTTAAAATGATGTAGTAGTTTTCCCCACAATAAGAGAGAATAATTGTTGAGTAATAGAACAGTAGTCATTACTAACAGTCAATACAAATATTAACTACCCATCTCTTAGGATACACAAGAGCAAAGGTGATTTTCCCTCCTCTTGATAAGATATCATTAAGCTGTTTAGAAAAACAGATCATAGTTTAAATCTATTTTTTTTTCCAATAAAAGCTTCCTACATGTTAGGGAGAGAGATACCTTTTTGTAGATCAATGTCAGGATAACCTTCTGAGAAAAGGAATTTTAAAGCATTGTAAGGATATAGTTCAGTGACAGACTGCATTAATAGCATTTTTATGAGTTTTATGTAAAATATTCTCAATAATAGGAGCAATGAACATCACTAACAGGAAAAAGTTGATGGGACTACATGCAAGGAAGGGACTCTGTTTAACTAAAAAACAAAACAACATCTAGTGATTAATCATCCTTGAATCCCAACAGTCCACATTCCCTTTCCTTTCAAACCTAAAATGCAGATGACAGCACTGACATGACTTGAAGACGGGGATACAGGGCAGAGACTCTAAGCCTCCCAGCACAGTTATCCTAACTTACAAGTTGTTTCCGTGATTCCACTCTAAGAGGACTTGGTGAGGGCAGACAGAAATGTCAGTGTTCTTTGTAACTGACCGAGAAAAAGGAAGAGAGACATACATGGTGCCTGTTAACTGAAGCCTCAGCACTAATCATGAGTTGCCTACTGGAGTATCTGTGGGAGCAACTGAGAGCACCATGCAGCATCCCTTCCTTACAGAGGCCGAGAAGTGGACACCAGCCCTCTGCTTCAGGCTGCTCTAATGCTAGGTTAGGACACTGCACGCTGCACTGCTCTACAGTTTCAAAACCCAGGAGGTTCAGCCTGAACACCACGGCTCAGCATTGCTGCTTCCAGTTCTTAGCCCTTTACCTGAAATGTGGTGCTTCTCACAGTACACGGAGAGCCATGCCACGGCAATAAGCATGCTCTAGTAATAACACATTCTAAAATAGCTAATTCACATACACAATGACTGTATTAGATGAGTAGGCGTATTTTACTGATTTTGTGTTAGTTTTACTTAGGACACTTAGGATTCCGATTTGAAGTTTCCAAATAAATCTTCACCAATGAGAAAATTATTTAACCAAACATCCAAAGTGGGTTCTGCACAGATGGGTCCTTCAGACCTTCTAACACAGCTACTCTCAAAAGACCACTTCTACTCAGTTATTTACAAAAGCATCCAAATCTCTAGAAGACACACACTGGACGTGCTAACTTACCTTGAATATCCATTGGAAAAAACGGATCTGCCAGGGAAGTTCACGGCCCCCAAGGAAGTCAGGTTGTCTTCTCCAGATCCTTGGCACCTATTCCAGTTTTCGGAACCAACGGGAATTGGCGGAATGACATTAAAAACAGGCTTCTGATCCTGCTGCTGAGCAAGGGACGCCGTATTCATGTCGTAGTGATACACCTGTCCTCCAGAGGTGCTCACGCCATGGACAGAAATGGCAGACATTTTATTACCAATTATATTTGTCCCAGAAAAGCCTGCCTGACAGTAAGCTGGGCCCAGTTTCTCTTGCTTAATTACCCCGGGGGTGCAAAGTTCAATGAAATCATCTTTTTCTGTTTTCACTTGAGGCAGTGTCACACTGCTGGGGCTTGGTAAGACTGTATCTCCAGTATCCTTAATTTTAGGTTTAGTGTCCTGTAAAATAAGAGGCTTACAGTCCTCATTTGCATCCCCTTCCGAAAGGAATGGATCATCATCTCCTGTCAAAGGAGAAAGCAAGTTTTCATCTATCAACAGGTCTGATCTCCAAGGACTCTGGTTTGTGTCTTTACCTGGGGACCCAGCAGAAAACTCCAAATCCTGCAAGATGTCAAAGGTGCTTTGGTCTGTGGTATACAATTTCACACTGCCTCCGTTGGCGCCAGCCTGGCTTCTCAGATTTTGCTGTTCCAAGGACGCATCAGAGGGAGTTTTAGGAAACTCCTTCTCTGTGGGGGTAGCACACCCAGTGGCAGATGTTGAACTCTTGGGGTTCTCTGGAACGCTGGTCGACCTATTGAGGTTTGCAATACTTTCTTCCAGAAGCCGAAAGTCTGTTTCCCCAGAGGAAATGCTGGTTTGGCCCTGCTGTGGGAATCCCAAGTCATTTCCCATCACTTTTGTCTCTGTCTCTCCCATATACAGTCCCATGGACAGTGAAACTGCTTTGGACAAATCCGGCTGCGGCTGCTGCTGCTGCTGCTGCTGCTGCTGCTGCTGCTGCTGCTGCGCATTGCTTGTAGAGCCTTTTGAAAAATCAAGAAGAAGCCTCTGTTGCTGGGAATCTCTCTGAGAAGTGGCAGCCAGTGAGGGCAAAGATGCAGAAACCTTCGCTGTAGCTCCTCCCCTTAGGGGTTTATAAAAGTCCATCACGTTTCCCCTCTCCCGGCCAAGCAAACTGCTGGGGACTTCTTCTCTACCAGAGGGAGCTAAGGATTCTTTGGAGTCCATTGGTAAATATTAACTACAAAAAAAGAGGACATAATAAGCTATAAAAGCACATTATCTCTGATCCGATTAGTAGAGACAGCCTATTAAACGAACCCCTTAGATAACTCCCAAATCAAAGTCTCCATTATCAGAAGAATATTCTCTCCTCTAAAAGGAAGCTGTATCTCCTGTTCCCATCCAGTGCTCCACATTTAAAAAACACAAGGCAGCTCATATGTACAGCCCGACAAAGCTATACTGAATTGATTCGAATTGGCTCCTCATCCTGCCACTCACTAAAGGCAACTTTGGTAACCATAGGAACTGTAATTTACTTTTTGTGATTAAAGGTTTAAATTGAAGTCAAAGTATTTCACTTCAAAAAGGGGGGATGGCCATGATCCTTACCAATCCCCTTTCAATCAAGGGGTGATTGCCTTTCTGGAAGCCAATACATAAAACAGCTGATAAATGCTACAGTGTAATTGTTTACACCTTATGGTTCACAATTTCACCTGTGCCAATCCCCCCCACAGCTAGCCTTCTCAAGGTACAACCTACTGAAGAATTATGCACATTTTATTGAAAAAAGTAAGCAGTGCTGATCTGCTTATCTTGTAACAGGCCAGTGAAATGCTCTTATTTTTAAACATTTTCAACGAGATGTGCCTAGTGGCACCTCCCTTCAATTTCAAGGTAAAAGAAATGCTATATATTGTATATAGCCTAAAATGCGTATTTTTAAGAGTAGAGTAGAATTTATACTGGCTTCTTCACTACAATTTTAACTTATTTAAATAGTTTAATAGATCTGAGTCTATCAAAACTCCTAACACTGAGTTACCGAGTTATACTTCTTTTTGAAAATTGTTTAATACACCCAATACAAAACATTTTATCTCCAAATCTAATATTTTTTTTTCTTTTCCAAATATGTAAACACTGAAAAAGAAAGAAAAACTGGACTGTGGTCAAGTAAAACCCATTCAATAAAATGCTCAGAATAATTTTTCTCTGCAGCTTTAAATCTTTACTGTATTCCTCCAGGTTGCTAGTATATTATTAATGATCACAATGTTTTAAGAGAGTGGCAAAGACTGTGATAAGCGTATTTTGGATCCCTTCCCACAAAACGGTAAACTTTTCCTGTACAGAAACACGAAGTATGCCCATCTTCACTGAAACTCGAGGAAGGTGGACAGAGGGGTGGGACCTGCCCTAGAATTTCTCTCTCACGGTTTCTCTCTCAGAACCCAGGTCCTATGCATCAAATTCGGATCTCTAAAGATGAGCTATCACATGGGCCGGAATGGCAGCTGCCTCCAAGCCTGAAACCATCACAATACTTCATAAACGAGACACTCCCTTAAGCGACATTTATCCCCCCCTAATTAAACTGTAAATCGGCCCTCATGAACAGCGCCAAGGGTCTGAAGTGGTAAAGCTGCAATAATCAAGCCTTCAACATCAAACGTCAAAGGGGCAGTTCCAAAACATGATTCATAAAAAATAAAAATTTAAAAAAGAAAAACCTGCGGCGACGGAGGGTCTCTTTCTAAAAGGGGGACCCCTCCGAAAGGTCGGGCGCGAAATCCTGCCCCAAAGCTAGAGCCCACGTCGTCAGCGGCGGGGCGGGGGGAGATGGAGGGAGAAAGGTGCTAGGTGAAGGGAGAAACGCGTCCAGACCTGTTGAGTCCTCCGCGGCACGCCCACTTCTAGCAGATAAGGCCGGCCGGGCGGGCGAAGTCTGGGCGGCCACGGCGAGCCCCCGTCCGCCCCGCGCGCCCGCAGCCCGCACCGCGCGCCCCGAGCCGGCGCTCGCAGCCGCCGCTCCGCCTCCCCTCGGCCCGGGAGGAGCAGCTGTCCGCCCGGCCCGCGAGGACGGCGGGGACCCGAGGGCTCCCGGCCAAAGCCAGAGCCCGGGGCGGGGGTGGGGGGACGCCAGCTCCCGGCGGGGCGCGCGAGGCTCCGGCGCGGGGCAGCGGCCGGGCCGGCGGTGCGGGGAGAGGAAGCGCCGGCGCTGTCACCGCCGGGGCCCTTTCGTCACCGTCACCCTGCCCTCGCCAGCCTCCACCCCCCCAACCCCTGGCTCGCAAAAGTTTGCCAAGTCCGGCCGCCCGGCCGCCGAGCCCCCCGGGCCGCCCGTTCTCCCCGCGGGCGCCCGCCCGCCCGGCCGGTCCTCCCCACCCCCGCTCACCTCTGCGCCCGCGCGCCCGCCCGCGGCTCCCACCGCGAGGCAGATAAACAAGTCGGCGTGCGGACGCGGGAGGCGCGCGTGTCACGGAGAAGGAAGTCAACAGTCGCCCCCTCTTTTCCACGGGGGAGGGGGGAGCCCCCGGCACTCGGAGCCGCCCGCTCCCGGCTCACGCGCCGGGGCCCCGCGCCGCTCTCGGCTCCCGCGCGCGTCCCTCGTCCCGGCGCCGCGCCGCCGGCCCGCGGAGTCTCGTTCCACCCACTTAGAATCCGTCCCCGACGGGCGGGCGGCGACTCGGGGCTCCGGGCGCTGACTCCAGCTCGCAAGATGGAGGAGGCGGAGGGGCGGGGGGGGGGAGGCGGGGGACGCGGACACGCGAACGGGCCGCCCGGCCGCGGCGGGCGGGCGAGCGAGCGAGCGAGCGAGCGGGACCGAGCGAGGGGCGGGCGGAGGCGGCGCCACGGCGCGCTCACACTCGCACACACGCGCTCCCACTCCACCCCCGGCCGCTCCCCGCCCGAGGGGCCGCCTCGCGGCGGTCGCGGGGAACGGTGCAACCTGTTGGCCACAGTCGGCAACTGCAAGGGACTCGCGGTCCTCCCCCCACCCCCGGCCCGGCGGCGCGGGGACCTCCCCACCCGCCGGCGGCCCGGCCCCGACGGCGCCCGCGAGCCCCGCGCCCACGGCCGCCGCCTCCGCCGGGACGCGCGCCGCCTCGCCTTCCTCTCCCACCCGAGGAGAGAGGGGAGAGGGCGGCGGCGGGCGCCGACCCGGGCGCGCGAGTTTGCTTCAGTTTCTCTTCTCCCCGGCTCCTTCCCGCCCCCGCCCGGCTCCGCGGCCGCCCCGGGCGTCCGCCGCCAGAGCCCCCCGGGGGTGACAGCCGGCCCGCCGAGCCGCACGGGTGGTCCGCGCCGGCCGGCTGCCGAGTTGCGCCGAGCGTGTCCCGCTAGCGGAGGGGCCGCGGCGCCCGGGGCCCCGGCCGCCCTCCGGGGAGGTGGGGGTGGGCCGAGGAGAGGGTCGGTGCCTACGTACTGAGAGCCCGACGTGGGGGGGGACTCGCGTGCCGGCAGCTCCCTCCACCCCCGCATCGTCTGGGCGGCCCCGTCTGCAGCCGCCGCCGCCGCCGCCGCGCGCGCGCTAGCTCGCCCCGCTTGCACCGGGAGAAGTTGCAGAGCAGAACCCACCCTCCCCCGCGCCCCGACCGTCCCCCACCCTCTTCCCCGACTCCGCGAGGAGGCGGCGGCGGCGGCGGAGGCAGCGGGAGGCGCCGCCTGCCAAGTTCAACCCCCACCACTCCCTCCCCGCCTGCCAGCGCGCTCACTCTCGGAGGAAGTTGCGAGCCTAATGCAAAACCTCTAGCGAGCTGGATTTCTTTGCACTTAAAAAAAATTGTGATTAAGGGAGCCTTGGGTGGAGTTGGGGGGTAGACGGGAGGGGGGGCTGTGCAGGCCTAGGAGCGAGCGGCACACGGAATAGTAAGTTGCTGCAGAAGTCCGCCCTCCTGTCACCCCAAACTCCTGACCTCCCCTCCCACCCCCTTCGGGGCCGGCCTCCAAGCTGTCCGCAGAGCTTCCCCCCCCCCCCAAACTTGACATTTGCTGCCCGGGGCTAGGTGCGTCGCTCTGCCTCCTGGGTTCCAGGGACCCCAGTGCCCCTCCACGAGCCAACAAAACACGCAGCTTTCGGACGTCAGCGTTTAGCTGTCCACGGGAAACACGTGGCCGGCCCCCCGAGGACAGGGAGAGGGGCCCGGCGCGCCAGCACCCCGCCACACGCGCTAGGAGTTGGGGGGCCCCGGGGGAGGGGGTTGCGGTGTTGCCTCAGCGGGCTGGGAAGTAACTTCTGCGCCCCCACGGATGCCAGCGCTTGGCATTTGTGACAGCAGCGGAGGCTGCGGTGACTCCGACTCCGACTCCGACTCCTCCCCTCCCCGGGGCGCGCGGCGGCAGCCGCCCTCTCGCTCGCGCCGCGCTCCGGCTCCCAGGGCGGCCGCCTCGGCCTGACCTCTCCGGAGAGCCCCTATTGGGGGAAGCGCGTGCCGGAAGCCTCTCGCCGCCATCTTGGTAAAGAGCGGTGACGCCGCGCGGCCACCATCTTGGCAAAGGTGCCCTGTGGCGTCAAAACCGAGTCGTCCCTCCGTGGTTGGAAAGCGTTGGACAGCGTGAACGTTGCCCAGTGCTGTCGTCTGCTACATAAGGGGAGGAAGTGGCAGAAAGCAGGATCCTTGTGCAGGGATGCTCCACTGTCACTACCTCCAAGGGATCTGGGGCCGCCATCTTGGCAAAGGAGTAGAGGCTTGGCACCTGGTGAAGGAAAACCTGTACCAGAGTAGACCTCCTCTGCCAGAGGAGTGTTTATGAAGAGCCCTTGAGGCACTTGGTGAAGAAAAAAAAAAAAATCAAACACAAACTTTTTACGTTGAGAAGAGAGATCCCTTCCTTTCCAAGGAGGATCAAGTCAACCAGGCTCTTAGTCAACGTGAGACCTTGGACTATGACTCTACTTTAGACCTATGCATGACTCTACTTTCCCTGCTTGCCAGCTTTCCCACCTTTGAGGCTCAAGAACTGAGATCAGATATCTTGTGAATATGATCCCCAAACATCCAAGCCTGTAAGGGGGTGGGGTGGTACTTGACCCTACAATAAAACTCATACTAATAGGATTATCCTTGATGTTTGCCTTTGAAAAGGACTAAATGTTGTGCATATATACCATATTTTCCCCGTATACTTTCATACCACAAACCTAAATAGCTGGATTACTCATTGAAAGAATCTACCCCATTTGTCTTGCATGTTTGAATTGTAAATTGTAGGTGCTTTTTATTTTTGAATAATTTATTTTTTACAAGAATTCCCATTTAATGTTTTTCTCTCTCCTTTTTTTTGTATGTTCTTAATAGTTCTTAAAGTAGAACTTTAAGTTTAAGTTTTAATTTTTCATTTTAAGTTTTAAATTTCCTTTACAAATATTTTCAGTTGAGCAAAAATGTGAACTTTTTCTGTTCTTTCTTTTTAGTAGCCTAAATATACTTTAGTTTACTTCGATAGAAAGATACCTAATGCTTCAATCTGTCATATTTAAAAGTATGCTTAAATACTCAATAATTATCATTGTTACATAGTAATAAAAATAGTTATGTGTTTTGCTTAAGGTTCATTGGTTCTTCTGCCCAGTTTTGCTGGAAGTGTTGAATGAAATAGATAATTTATTTTATTGTACTTCATGGGAATTGCTGGGGCTCCTACATGCTAGGATAGTGTTCAACTAATGAGCTATGTCACTGGTTGTCTTAGTTAGGGTTATTATTGCTGTGATGAAACACCATGACCAGAAGCAACTTGGGGAGGAAAGGCTTTCACTCACCGTTCCACATAAACAGTTCATTATCAAAAGCAGTGACGACAGGAACTCAAACCGGGCATGAACCTGGAGGCAGGAGCTGATGCAGAGGCTATGATGGAATACTATTCACTGGCTTGCGAAGCCTGCCTTCTTATAGACCCCAGAATCACCAGCCCAGGGATGGCACCACTCACAATGGGCTGGGCCCTCCCCCATCCATCAGTAATTAAGAAAATGCCCTATAGACTTGTGTTTAGTCCAATTATATGGAGGCATTTTTTTTTCAATTTTTTTTTCCCAGCTGTATCCCGTTCCCTCATTCCCTCCTAATTCCACCCTTCCTCCCTCATCTCCTCCCTGCCCCTTTCCAAGTCCACTGATAGGGGTGGACCTCCTCCCCATTCATCTGACCCTGTTTTATCAGATATCTTCAGGACTGGTTGCAAAGTCCTCCTCTGTAGCCTGACAGGACTACTCCTTCCTTGGGGGGGTGGGGAGGTCAAAGAGCAAGCAATTGAGTTCCTGTTAAAAATAGTCTTTGTTCCCCTTACTATGGGAAACCAATTGGTAACTGAGCTACCACGGGCTACATCCGAGCAGAGGTTCTAGGTTATATCCATACATGGTCCTTGGTTGAATGTCAGTCTCAGAAAAGTCCCTGTGCCCAGATATATTTGGTCCTTGTGGAGCTCCTATCCTTTCCCCATCATACTAATTGCCCTTCTTTCATATGATTCCCTGTACTCTGACGAAGGTTTGGTTATGAGTCCTAGTATCTGCTTTGAAAACACTGCTAGGTAGAGTCTTTCAGATGCCTTCAGTAGACTCCTGTCATACGTTCAATGCACATCCCATCTATCTTTCTAAATGAGGATTGATCATCTTACCCTGTGTCCACTCTCTTGATTATCTTTTTTAGGTGTATAGATTTCATTATGTTTATCATATCTTATAGGTCTATATAAGCAAGTATATTCCATGTTTGTCTTTCTCCTTCTGGGATACTTCACTCAGAATGATCTTTTCTAGATCCCACCATTTTCCTACAAATTTAATGATTTCCTCCTTTTTGATTGCTGATTAGTATTCCATTGTGTAAAAATACCACAATTTCTGTATCCATTCCTCCATTGATGGACATCTGGGTTGTTTCCAGGTTCTGGCTATTACAAATAAAGATGCTATAAACGCGGTTGAGCAAGTATCCCTTTTGTATACTTGAGCAAATTTTGGGTATATACCTAGCAGTGGTATAGCTGGGTCTTGAGGAAGCACTATTCCTAATTGTCTGAGAAAGTGCCAGATAGATTTCCAAAGTGGTTGTACCAGTTTACATTCCCACCAGCAGTGGAGGAGGGTTCCCCTTTCTCCACAGCCTCTCCAGCATGTGTTGTCACTTGAGTTTTTCATCTTGGGGAGACATTTTCTTAACTGAGGTTTCCTCCTCTTAAATTATCTTAGCATGTGTCAAGTGACACAAAACTGTACAGCACACTACCTTACTTGATTTTTCATTATGAGGAATTAAAGCTTACAGACCTTGATTCAATGTCACATAGCTCCTAAGTGTTAAAGGATGGAATTCAATAACGTTAAAGACATTTTCCTCTTTGATCTCACATTTTACATAAAGGAGCATTACTAACTTTTAAAAGACTTAAGTGTTCATGGAATTTAAGTGATGAACTTCAAATAAATAAAGAAATGTTCAGTGTCAGACGTAAAATTTAAAATTCTTATAACACCATTCTTCTGATAGCTAATAACTATTAAACATCTAACAGACACAGTGTCTACCAGACACTAGTCTACATTTTTATACATTATATCTTAACTCATTAACATGAATGTTTACTCATCAATAACTCTAGGAAGTTAGTATTACTACAACGTGAGAAACAGGATCAATCCCTACCTCAAAGATAATGTATTTTATTACCTCATAAGGAGAGGTGAGAATAA